GGGTCTTAGCCCTGCCCGCTGCTCTGGGAACCCACCCTTTGGGGGGGGGTTCATCCCGTCCAGTACCTGCTGCCATCGGGGGGGCTGCACCCAGCCCGGTGACTCCGGTTTTGTCCCCGCAGACGACTCATCATCCTCAGCCATGTCGTTCATTTTCGAATGGATCTACAACAGCTTCAGCAGCGTCCTGCAGTTCCTGGGTAATGCCCCCTGCCCTGGGGCCCCCAGCAGCCGCCCTCGGGTCCCCTGTGGCTTTTCTGCCCCTTGCCAGAATCCCTTCAGTTTGCCCCTCTCTCTGGGTCCTATAAAGCTGGCCAAAAAAAAACAACCAGCTGCAGATCAGCACAGGTTGTTTTGTCGGTTGTTTTTTTTTGCGCTAGCGGGAGAAACTTGGGGAGTCTTTTGGAGGTGTTTGAGCTCCCACTCCCTCTTGCTCTGGCTATTTTGAAGCACCAGAGCAGCTGGGCTGGTGCTGAGGGCCTGTCTGGCCCAGTGCCCTGCCCCAGGCAGACAGGGAGGGAACTCCAGCCTCTTCCTCCTCCTCTTCCTCCTCCTCCTGGTATCCCAGCTCACCAGGCTTGATGCTCCACCAATGACCACTTCCTACACCAGGCTGCCCACTCTGGGGGAGCTGCTGGCTGCCATCCTCAGCACCATCCATCTTGAGGGTTCTCTCTGGAGGTGCTGGCCAAAAGGTTGCCCAGTCTGGTGGCCTCATCCAGCTGTGGGCAGGAGGAGCTTCAGCAGCACCATCATTCCACTCTCTATCCAGAGCATCTCGCAGGGGGAGGGAGGGAGGAGGAAAAGTCCTGTTGAAAACCCAAGGAAACTTTGCCTCCAGCAGCTTGACACCTGGAAGTGGGAAGGAAAAATGTTCTTCTCTGAATAAAAGTATCATTTTTTCCCCACACTTGGCACTTCAGCAGCTTGGTGTCTGTTTTGTGGGCTTCCCATTGAGATACCCCTTTGGGGAGACACACGGATCCATAACCTGTTGCACACCCTTCTGCTAGGATGGATCTGAGGGAAAAAAAACAGGCATCATTTGTAGAAAGATGGAGCTTAAAAAAAGGTCCATTACCACGGGAAGTGCCTGGGGAGAAGCTGGTTCAGGCTGTTGTTTCCCAAGCTGGCAGTGCTGGGAAGGCAGAGCTCTAGGAGAAGAGGGGGGTCTCCACAGCAGCAGCAGCGTTGCAGCCTGGTGGAGTTTTTTTCTTCCTTCTTTTGTTTTCCTCCCAAGGTTTGTACAAGAAATCTGGGAAGCTTGTGTTCCTGGGCTTGGATAACGCTGGCAAAACCACTCTGCTGCACATGCTCAAAGATGACAGGCTGGGGCAACACGTCCCCACGCTACATCCCAGTAAGTCTGAGGGTGACTCAGCCCCCCCACCTCACCACCACCTCAGGGTGGGTTGTTTTCCTCTTTAATTCTGGGGACAGGGTGTCAAAAATGCCTGGGTGATCACTCACCGTTGGGGTGACTGCCCTGAGGAGCCCTAAAGGAGCCTCTGAGGATGCAGCCTGCACGTTAGTGGCCCAAGAAGTTGGTCCCCAAGAAATTCCATCCATGACAGCTTCCTCCTTTTCCTGCAACACAGCCTCTCTTTTGACTTTTCAGCATCAGAGGAGCTGACAATTGCTGGAATGACCTTCACGACTTTTGATCTGGGTGGACATGAACAAGGTAAGAGTGAAGCTGCTGAGCAGGAGGCACCAAAGGAGGTGAATTTTCTTGATGTTCCTCCAGCCAACTTGAGAAAAATCTAACCCCCCCCAGAAAAGTGATTCTGGAAAGTAGGAGCAATTAGCAGAACCTCATTATTATAAATGACTGATGGAGCAGGGAGTGGACATCACCTCCTGGCTTTGGATGTCATTGGTTTCAGTGATTCATCACATGTGCTTAAGTCTGATGGTTGGGGAAAACAGGGTGGTGGTTGAGGGAAACACAGTGGAGAGAGGGGCTCCTTTTTGGGGGTGGTTTTCCCATTGTTTTTGATAAGAGTTTTCACAGGGTGATGTTGTGTCACTTCTGTCTTCCAGCTCGGAGGGTGTGGAAGAACTACCTGCCAGCCATCAATGGGATTGTCTTCCTGGTGGACTGTGCAGATCACTCACGGCTTATGGAATCCAAAGTGGAGCTTAATGTAAACTTATTTTCCTTCCCAACGCTTCAGAAGAGCCTAATGATTAAATAACCATCAGGGTTTTTTGGGAGGGTGGGAGGCTGGAACCTGGGGGTGTGTGGAGCGTTTTGAGAGCCCTGCCCACTGGGTGAGCTCTTCTTCTGCCTTGCACGCAGGCGCTCATGACGGACGAGACAATATCCAACGTGCCAATCCTTATCCTGGGGAACAAAATCGACAGACCAGAGGCCATCAGTGAGGAGAAACTGCGGGAGATCTTCGGGCTCTACGGACAGACCACAGGAAAGGTAGGGGGGGCATCTGAATCCTGGCTCATCCATAGGCAAGGGAAGAGCTTGGCGTTGTTTCCTTGTGGAATGAGGCTCCATCCAGAAAGTCGTTGAGGATGGAGCGTGGGATTCACTCACAGTGCTGAACAAGTTTTTGCTTTGGTGTTTCTTCATCGAGAAGGGGCCCGACATGCAGCCAGGAGAGGGCAACTCCCTGGGCTGGGAAGGATTTCCCTGGATGGTGGTGACTGGTTTGCCACCTCCCTGAGGGACTGACTTCCCTTTGGGTTTCAGGCTGGGAGGGTTGGGGTGTTCAGCCTGGAGAAGAGAAGGCTCCAGGGAGACCTTAGAGCACCTTCCAGTGCCTGAAGGGGCTCCAGAAAAGCTGGGGAGGGGCTTGGGACAAGGGCAGGGAGGGAGAGGACAAGGGAGGATGGTTTTAAACTGAGAGAGATTTAGGTGAGATATTGGGAAGAAATTCTTCACTCAGGGTGGTGAGGAACTGGGATGGGTTGCCCAGGGAGGTTGTTGATGCCCCATCCCTGGAGGTTTTTCAGGCCAGGTTGGACGAGGTTTTGTGCAGCCTGGTCTAGTGGTTCCCTGCTCATGGCAGGGGGGTTGGAGCTGGATGGTCTTTGAGGTCCCTTCCAACCTGTATGACTCCCTGATTCCCCAGGGCAACGTGCCGCTGAAGGACCTGAACGCGCGGCCCATGGAGGTGTTCATGTGCAGCGTGCTGAAGAGGCAGGGCTACGGCGAGGGCTTCCGCTGGCTGTCCCAGTACATTGACTGACACCCCAGGCTCTCACTCCTCGGGACTGCTTCTCTTCACAAAAACCTTCCTACGGACTTTTCAACCGGAACACGGGGCAGGGGAGTCAAAACCAAAACGCTTCCCGACCTGTTGGCATCGACCGAGAGACTCCTGGGGGGTGGTTGTATTCTTGGTTTTTTTTGGCTGACCTTCTCACAGTGGTGACACGACTCTTGGCCACCCCAGCAGGGTCCTGCAGGCCAGTTTGTCCTCCTTTTCCTCCAGGTTGGTGTGAGCAGGGGGGGCAGGAAAACGCTGCAAAAAAAAAAAAAAAAGAGTCTCACCACTGTGGGTCATCGAAGAAAAAAAACACCAAAAAAAAAAAAAAAGAGAGAGAGAAAATAGCAATTCTATTTTTTAAAAGTGCTCACGTACACGGCGTCTCCCTTCTAACTTTTTAGTTTAACCTTCATCTTGTTTAGTCCAGGGATCTGGTTCGGGGGGGGATTGTTTGTTTTTTTAACAAAAACCAACGTATTTAACGATCTTTAGATAATTTCACCAAATAACCGAGGGATGGTGGGGTTGGGGAACTCCTCAATAAACAGATGGATTTGGGCTGGAAGGGTGGCTGTGCTGCCTTGGGAGGGGGG